TCACTTAATATAATTTTTTCCAAGTTTTTCCATTTCCTAACAAATGGGGCAATGTCATTCTTTCTGATGGAGGCATAGAATTCCATTGTGTATAATACCACATTTTCTTGATAAGAATTGGCATTTCTTACTAAACCCCTAGGTCAACATTAGGACTATATAGACAAGTGACATAAAGTACATGCTTTCCATTTTGTTTTAGTTGGCTTTATTTCTAAACATGATTTCCCGATGGACTTGGTAGTTCTTCCTCAAACTAGTTAGCTTACTCAGATATCTCCTCTAATTGTTTTTCTTCATATGTAAATAAGAATGTTAGACTAGGTGATTTTAATCATTTTTTTATGGAAATTTTCAAACCTATTCATAATTTTGAATACTGTAATGAACTCCTATGTAAGTATTACACAGTTTCAAAAAATCAACTCAGCCAATTCTGTACTGTCTATATCCCATATATTCAACTACATTTCAAATGCAGTATATTGTAGTCTGGATTATTTGTAGAGAATTTAAATAGTTACTGTTACATAAAAGTCAAATACAGATTTTCCCTTAGATAAATGTAAATCATGTTTGTTTTGAAGAACACAAGTTACCAAAAGGCTAATGCCAAGAGAGACAAGCCTCCTGAGTTTCCTGGGATCTTAAGTATTTACATTCAAGGTGTGCACAGTTTATTTAGAGTTTAGTAGATGAATATTGATGTCTAATCTATTCCAGAGTTGGATGATTTGACACTGTCAGCATCTGTCCATATGAACTGCAGACAGATCAAAGAAATGTTTTTATACTATTTTACTTGGAGATTTCTTCTCTGAGTTCTTTAGAGAATTTTCAGCTCCAGTTATTACTATTATAGACAAAACTGCTGACTTTAGTTTCTGTCTTTAGTAAGTTCTAGTATTTCATCAATTATTTGGCATTTCCAGTTAAGTGTTGTTCCCTAACATCTCAAATTCAGCAACTCCAAAGTTCAGCGCATACGTTCTCATCCAAGCCATTTTCATTTTCTCATTTCCCCTGTTCTTTCACCTTTACTTTTCATTGCTTAAGCATGAAACATTGGAGTAGATTCTTTTTAGTCTGTTTTTGGTTCCCTTTGTCAGCCAGTTATTCATGTTTCTTGGAGTCTATTCCGTGTAGAAGATTACATATATACAACACCTACAGTGCTGCAGCACAGCAAGAGGCTGTGCTCACTTCTCTTTTGCTGGCTGTATTGGCACCTTCTGGAATACCACCCAAATTTCAAATCTCCAGATTGACATCCTGTACTCTGCTGTTCATCACTAGAAACTAGTGATTCTGTGTAGAACCTGGTTGCTCTTGAGCAAGGGGCTCAAGTGGGCTGTGTGTGAGGGTATCCCTATGCTTTAGAATAATACCATATTTCAAAACATTATTAAATAAATGATATTTATATTACACAGTGTCTTTTATTATATAAGATTATATGTCCAAACCCACTGAGGATTAATTTTTTAAAAAATTTGATTGTTTTCAATTAGTCTTTGCTTACTACTTTAAAAGTTTTATTTTTTACACAAAGTTATTTATTGGTCTTATTCATATTGACAGATAGTAGTTACTGCTAGGTAGATATGGGAGCAGTTGGAGATGCGTGTGTGGGTTAATAGACACAAATGCATTTCACAGCTCTCCCTGAAACTACCATAGCTGAGTGATCACAGTGAACTTGCCAGTGGTAAACAATGAAGATCACATGTTGGATAAGAAGAGCATCCCGTGAGGTATTCCCTTCCCCAAAACCTACCGTCCCAGTCTATTCACAGGAGAGCATTTGATAGACCAAAGTTAGAAGGACAATATGTAAAACAACTTACTAATAATATTGCTCAACCAAATGTCAGGATAATGAGCAACAAGGGAAGATTGAGAAAGAACCACCAAATAGAGGAATCAAGTGCAGTGTGGTATTCTGGATGGGACACTGAACAGATAAAGGAACATTAGTGGAACAACTAATGCAATCCAAATCAGGTTTTTTTGTACTTTTTTATTGTAAATATACTGTACAGATCTGTTACTGTTACTTAAGCAAGGTAATGAGCATTGTTGCTTCCCCCTTTGTTTTTCCCCTACCATCCCTTCCCCAAATGAAATTTTAAGTTTAATTAGTAATGTACCAATGTTGGTTCATAGTTGTAACAAATGTAACATGATAACAAATATTAAAAGCAGGCAAAGTGGTGTCAGGGTATATGAGAGCTCTCTGTTACCTTTCCAACTGTTATGTAAATAGAAAATTATTCTAAAATAAAAAAGTTATTTAAAAAACAGGGTGTAACGAAAAAAATTTAAATCTGAAAAAAAACTGACAAGTTTGCCTGCTAGGAGCAGATTTTCAGATCTTAAGAATTTAACAATGTGTACTATAGAAAAATAGCACATAGACAATATTTTAATTAATACATGTGTTGTTTTAAAAGAAGGATTTTGCATCTACATTAAGAAAAGACATATTTGTCTATATAAGAGACACTGTATCATTCTTATTCTGAAATACTTGCATCCTGTTCCTGTTTTATTTTAGGTCCTTCCTCTGGAAAACCAGATGAAAGAATCCAAACGTTTTCCCCAGGCATTGAATATTGGCATGGCTATTGTCACAGCTTTGTATGTTACACTGGCTACTTTGGGATATATGTGTTTTCGTGATGAAATCAAAGGCAGCATAACTTTAAATCTTCCCCAGGATGTGTGGTACGTGGAGATGAGCTTCTAAATTCTAGTTCATATATTTTGTGAATGTAATTTACCAATATTTGAATTTCATACTTGAATTTTTTGATTTAAACTTGTGGAATCTCACTGTGATTTATTGGAGTAACTAGATTTTTTTTAATAATTCTCAAGGAAAAACCATCCATGAATTTATGATATGTTTGTGATATGTTTTAAGAAAGGATCTTACAAATAAGTTGTACCAGATTTCAATCAACCCTAAAAGCAAAATACGCATTATTTTAGTACTAACACACATTAATTTTTTTCAAAAAAACGAATGCCTGTATTTGCTATCAAAAAGGCAAGCATGCTGGGTTTCTGATGAGACATCCCATCATTTTATGGCTCTCTTTGTTTTCTGGTCAACTTTATTTTTTTTTATTTTTTTATTTTTTGGGTCCAGTCGTGGGCCTGAACTCTGGGCCTGGGCACTGCCCTCAGCTCTGCAGCTCAAGGCTAGAGCTTTACCACTTGAGCCACAGCGCCACTTCCGGCTTTTTTCTTTTTGCTTATGTGGTGTTGAGGAATCGAACCCAGGGCCTCATGCATGCAAGGCAAGCGCTCTACCCCTGAGCCATCTTCCCACCCCCTGGTCAACTTTAGACTGTGTACCTCCAATCCTTCGTAGTCTAGTTGGGACTCATAGATAATGTAGTGTTGTGTCTTAGTACTTTGTTTAATATGGAAGCCAAGTTAACCTAAATGAAACAATATATAAGGTTCTTTCTTCAGGAGTTAGTCTTTGGAAATTTCAAAAAGGTATTGCTAGTGAATACTCACCTTTAAAATCGAATGTAGTACCTCAGTTTTGATAAATGCAAAGATAAAGTGCTAAATTGCTGATTTAATTAATGCCATTCTACTTCAGCTATGTGGATAGATTCTGTGAATGTCTCACAGGGCAGTGAGAACCAGCAACAGTAGGAATGACCCTTTCTGACTGACTTCCTGATGGGAATCAGAAATCATCTCTCCTAAGCGATTTTCACTAGAAGTGAAAGCCTGCAAAATGTATCCCAAGAAACAACAAGAATCTGAGAAAATAAGAAAGCAAGTTAAGAGAAATAGTTCCTTTTAAGAAATTTGTATTGGTTAATTCCTTTCCACTGTGGAGATAGGATTTGTGTGGTTGATAATCTTATTTCTTTTTGGCCTCTGTAGCTGTAGGACTGTTAAATTCATATAGTCATAACTAAGCACCTAAAACAAAAGTGATGACTATATGGGAATCGAGTTGATAGTCTCTGTAAAGTGACTTTTGGAATAGAGTAATCCTGGGATTGTATATATATTGCTATTCTGAATAGGCTTCTGGTGTTTAACTTAGGAGGCTTTGGAAAGTGAAGGGTGTGTTACTTTTCAGCTGAGCTTGAAAGACAACAATTGTCACAAAGGCATCCTGGGCATGTAGTGGTGTCTACCAGCTCTGAAGCTGTAAGACCTTTTGATGCCAAGTTGATTTATACTCTTGGCATTTATAAGGGTTATTGCTTCAAGAAAAGTATAGATTAGAGAAGCATCATTTTTTGTGTGTGTTGGTCCTGGGACTTGACCTCAGGGCTTGGGCATGGTCCCTGAGCTGCTTTTGCTCAAGGCTGGTGCTCTGCCACTTGAGCCACAGTTCCACTTCTGACTTTTTGCTGGCTAATTGGAGATTTGAGTTTCATGGACTTTCCTGCCCAGGTTGGCTTTGATTTGTGATCCTTAGATCTTAGCCTCCTGAGTGGCTAAGGATTACAGCATCTGACTTCTGAGGCATCTTTTTAAATAATTATTTATGAGTAATAGTGCTCAATAAATTTTGCTTTTAAAGTAAGAGTATAATTTGAAGGTGATAATGAAGTAAATGTGAAATTCTGAGCTTAGAGCATTAGCAGTTCAAGTGCAGAGGGTCTGTTCCCTCCCCATAACCTGGACAATGCCAAATACCTGGGAGGCTTAATGCAGTTCTCACATGACCACTTCTGGTCCTAGTCAAGTAATGCTATAACAGTAGTGTTTTCCAAAAAAAAGTAATGGTTAGCTTTCTGTTACTGTAACAAGTGTCTGAGTCAATCAACTTATAAAGTCAAAAAAGTTGATTGTGGCTTGGATCACTGTAGGTTTCAGACCATGAATAGTTGTCTGTTGCCTTGAACTTGTGGTTAGAGCAGCTCATCATGGCAGAAGCACATGACAGAGAAAAGCTTGACCCTCACCTCCATGGGGAAGTGGAAAACCTGATCAGAAGGGGATTGAGTTCCCCTGCACTGTAGGACTGTTAAATTATTAGTCACTAAGCACTTAAACACACTGTGTGTCCCCTAAAAGTAGAACTTCCACACACCCTTCATTCCTCCCTGTAACCTCAAGACCTTCCCTAGGCTTCCCTCTTAAAGGTTCCACAAATTCCCCAAACCCCAAGCTGGGCAGTAGGCTCTTACACTGACCACTGGGAGATGGTCACACAAACCATAGCAATAACTCAATTATAGAGGGAAGAGAACAATCCCTTGGGGGCAGAACCCCAGATGACCTGCTTTCAGCATAGCATCAGTTTGTGTTCTGTTTTTACAAATTCATCTTCTGCATTCTACTTCATAATAGCTGCATTGTTTTTATAAACATATTTTCCACCCAAAATAAAGAACTTTGAATAATTTGGACTTCACAAAGATCTACCACACTTAGACTACAGTTTTTAGAACCCCTAGCACACTACCATACACTGGAGGCGTGTGTATACACTCTCTCTCTCTCTCTACCTCTCTCTCTCAGAGAAAACACAGGCTGAGTACAAGGAGAATAAGCATGAGGAGGAAACAGCCTGCTTCAATACTGGCTTTCAGATATCTGCACAAATAAATTTGTGATGGGCCCAGTAACACAGGCTGAAACATATGTTCCTTTTCATAAGGATTGATTTGAAGAATTGTTCCATTGAGTTGTATGTAGATAGTGTGTTTTCACACAACATCAGGTTCTGACATATTAATGGGTATTACTTTAACTTTTAGATTTCTTAGCAGCATGGAGGTTCTAGGTGGGAAAAGTACATGGGATTGATTTGAAAGAGACATAGAGGGCTGGGAAGGCAGTTCAGTGGTAGAGTGCTCGCCTTGCATGCTTGAGGCCCTGGTTGATTCCTCAGCACCACATAAGCAGAAAAGAAAAAAAAAAGCCGGAAGTGGTGCTGTGGCTCAAGTGGTAGAGTTGCTAGCCTTGAGCTGAAGAGCTGAGAGACAGCACCCGGACCCAGAGTTCAGGCCCCATGACTGGACCCCCCCCCAAAAAAATAGAAAGAGACATAGAGAGGATTGGGAAGGGCATGTGCAGATGTGGAAGCTGGCAGCAGAGCTGTTAAGTATTGCCTTGAATTTGTGCTTAGGGGGAGTGAATACCACATCATAGAATGTTTTTGTTTTGCTTCAACTCTTCTAATGGTAACTTACAGAATTCAGAAGAGAAGATGAAGGTACCTTTTAGTTTCAAAGGAAGATTAAAGGTGTGGAAGATCAGGACAACTATTGAGTAGTGATGGTCTAACAAATTCTGAAGTGGACAGGAAATAGCTAATGGTATTTGTATCTGTATTTTAAGGGCCCCTGGTATTGGTATATCCCGTGGTAGGAACAAAGACCTTCCTTTTTAGTTTCATTTGTTTTGAAACACTGAGCTACAAAGTGCTAAGTTTCCTTCGATGAGATAGTAACCCAACCCTTCTATTTCCAACTGGTATAGGGTAGTATATGTAATTTAGAGAACTTTGTAAGATGAAGCCTTATCAGATGGCATGATACTTCTGCAGCTTAAGGACACGCCTGACAAGGTTTTCAAGCAAGGAGAAATAAAATTCAGAATCAATATGTTTTTTTTTCTACACACAGATCACTGAGATTTTGATTCAGGATTTCAAAGACATACAGATATGCTACATCCTTAAAAAGAAAGTCGAAGCAACATTAGTTCTTTGTGGAGCGGTCATCATCTTACAACACTGGCTTAACCCTAATTAAAATCTTTCCAACGATATGTTACAAACATTTGTGTGCCAGGCTTGTGAGCTGTCTATATATCATCTACAGATTTCATTAGTGGAGGGTCAGTTAGTGTTTTCATTTATGTTTTTAACCCAGTACATTCTATCCTAAGTTTATGTTCTCGATTTCTTATTTATAAAAATAAACAAGAGGAAATGTAGACTACGAAATGTAGACTAAGAAAGACTAATTTCTGATTTTTTTCAACAGGTTGTATCAGTCAGTGAAAATTCTATATTCCTTTGGCATTTTTGTGACCTATTCAATTCAGTTCTATGTTCCAGCAGAGATTATTATCCCTGGAGTCACATCCACATTTCACACTAAGTGGAAGAAAATCTGTGAATTTGGGATAAGATCCTTCTTGGTTAGTATTACTTGTAAGTATCACTATATATTTTTATCATACTAAATTTCCTATTGCATTTCTTAACATAAAATTTCATTCTTTGAACATTTTAAAAACTCTTTTATGCACCCAGATCTCTGTAGATGACATGATATCCTTTTTATAATAATTGTGTAGTGAATATTTATAGTGACTAAACTTTTCTTAAACTGCCAGTTTGACTTCCTTTTTTTGTACATGTGAGCTATTTATATTCTGGATCAGCCTAAAATATATATACTCTTCTTTTTCTACTAGTAACACTGTCAAGTCAAACTCCTCAGGCCATTTGGGGAATAGCAGTATCCTTCGCTTCTATTTTTAAAGATGGCCCTATTTCACTGAAATTAAACTAATACATGGTATAAAAGAATTTGGTAGAGCTTGGTACTGGTGGCTAATGTCTATAATCAGGAGGCTGAGATTTAAGGTTCATGTTTTGAAGCCAGCCTGGGCAAGAAAATTCCTGAGACACTTACCTTCAGTGAATCACCAAAAAGCTGGAAGTGGGGCTGGGTTCAAGTGGTAGAGCACCAGGCTTGAGTAGCAAAGCTACAGTATAGTGCTCAGGCCCTGATTTCTAGCCTTAGTATTGGCACACATAAATATATGCACAAAAGTGTTAGATATATAAAAATGTAGTACGGAAATACCAATTTTACATTGTATTCATCTTACATGGATTCAACAATAGTATTTCCTTGATTCACTAGTGATAGCTCAGATTATTAAAAAATATCAATGAGGAAAACTGGATATTGCAAAAGGAAAATGGTTTTGGTTTGCAAAGTTCTGGTTATGCTTATCTGGCCTCATAAAATGACTGTTTGATGAAATGTGAAAGGTCATAATTGTGTTTGAGAGTTAAGCTTTAAATTCCCTAGAGAAAAATGTTAAAATGTTGTAACAAGCATCTTTTAAACAGACAACTACTTTATAAACATTTCTCCTTTTGAATATCAGTTTCTTCAGAATCAGTTATTATATTTGTAGAGGGTTATTTGGTACAAAGTTAGACTTATAATTTCAAAACAGTTCGTTAAAGCTTTAGCTTTCATGACAGTTTGAATACAAAATAATAACTTAAGCTCCTGTGAGTGGAATGTAGGTACAAACTAATTTCAGACAGGCCTGGAAAAGTCTGAGAAGTCACACAGGGGAAGGAAAACTGAAAAGTAACAAGAAACCAGTAGACCAAAAACTAAGGCTGAATTACATGTTGGCGAGGCTACACAGTTTGTATTGGAGCACATTGGCTGCTTTTTGTCTTTTTTTTGCTATATATGAATATTTTTACACTATTTACACACAACTCTGAGTCCATGATTCGTCACAGGCCTCCACTGCATAACACTGCCTCTCTTTTATTCGTCTGCTATAAACGTCAATTTCTCTCTAGTCCAGGTTTGCACTCTACTTTTGTACAGCCATTTCCTTTTGCTTTGTTCCATTTCTAGCCTTTGTCTTTCACTAGGCTTTCTGTGAGGTATCTGTGTATACATGTAAGTTTAATTTGTTCTTTTTGTAATTCAAACTTTTCATTTATTAAGTTTATCAGAAGTGTTTTTAGTGTATCTTGTAAAGGGTCTCCTTAGGTCCCTGTTTGTCTGCTTTGTTGTCTGGTTGTTTTCTGTAAAACCTTATTTCATTGGATTTGGATATTCCTAGTATTTCTGTGATCTGTTCTACCATTTTGAAGACCTTTTTGGTTTTATCTTTTGGGTATCTGTGATCTTCCTAAAAAACGATTTGCTCTGTTTTTCGTTGACTAGGCAGCTCATGTTCTGATCCTTGGTTGAGATTTAGTTATCTGGGCCCACGGCTTCTTGTAGGGATAAACTGTTGAGTGAAGATGTAGAATTCAGTTGTGGTTGGAGCTCTACTGTTAAAATTTGTCTATCAGTTGGAAGTATTGAGGTTGTAAAGGTAAGGTGGGGGTATAAAGGGGTCATTTTCCAGACTTGTGTATGAGTGAGAGAGGTATAAGTTTATGGAAGAATTAAAAGAGAAAAGAAGGAAGAGAAGACAGGGAGTGAGTGCAAGAGAGAAAAACCTTGCATTCTACACTGAAGAAGGAAGTAGAGTAGAGAGAAATTGGGTCAGACACCGTGTTGTCTACTCTAAAAAGCCTAAGTCTGTTGCTGACACCCTCCTAATTATACCTCTACTTTTGAACAGAGAAAGGCAATATGGAGAATAGGATATTGTGTGTGTGTATATATAACAAACAACACACACATACATATCTATATCGATCTGTCTATCAATCTGCATCTCAAACCATCAGATAAATAATCTCAGAACATTCAACTGAGTTGTAAAAAATGAAAGAGAGAAGAAAGAAAAACAAAAAGGTGCTTTTTACTCAGTATGTCAGAGATATGAGCTGCCCCTTGATGCAGTTTCTATAGGATTGGGGTTGTTGTGTTTCCCTCAGTGATAAGCAGCCTCCTCTAAGCCCCAGTGAAGTCCTCAGTAGAGCAAGGGACTCTGACTGCTGCTGCAACTGTGCAGATTTTCCCTGTGACACAGGTAGAGTTGGGGGACTTAACCATTTTTAGCAGTCTTTCCTGGTGGGGGCTGGTCCAGCACCTGGTATTGCTTTCCCAGGTATCTTCCTAGGTATGTGCAGCTGCTAGGGGCGCTGCTGTCCACAGGCTGGAGTTTTTGGGTTTTAGGATTTCTGGAATTTGCCATTCCCTGGAGACAGGGAACGTGGCTTTTTCCCAGGTAGCTGGAGAAGGTGTGGAGGGGAAGAGCGTACTTCTTTGCCCTCTCCAAACAGGGCCCTCTTTGGGCAGGGGAACTAGTCCAGTTACTCTGGGTCACCACAGAAGCTAGTCCCTCCAGGGAGGGGTTCCCTGAGTTTGTGTTGAGGTGGCCATCAGCATCCTTGTAAGATGTCCCTACATCTGCATTTGGCGATCTTGTGAGCCTTTTCTTGCTTTTTTGTGCCAGCTGTAGCTCTTCAGGAGCATTGCTATCTGTGCTGGACCGGACTCGGCACACTGCACAGCTGTATAGGAGGGGTTACCTTGCTGCAGCATGTCTTTGCTGACTTCAGTCATTGTATGCCTGCGGTATAAATCCTTTGCTAGAGTGTGTATCTTGTTTGTTTCTAGTCTGATGGGTGTGGCCCTCTTGAGGTGAAGTGTGTGCTCAGCCCCTACATCATATGTTTAGTCAGAGACAGCTGGGGTGTTTCCCTGTAGCTGCTTCACCATCTTCTCCCTATCATTTCCTGGCTGTTGTTTTTAGTGGCAGCTCCAACCCATGAATAATAAGCCATTCCATCAGTAATTTAAAGGACAAATTGGAGAAGACTATGAGTCTTGTTTTTATATTTCTGTGAACAGACTTTTGGTGGTATCAAGATAAGGGCATGAAAGCAACAGACCAAAACATAATGCTTTGCAAGAAATCTTGCTCACAATAATGGCATAGGGGCATATACATTAAAGGTGTTGTACAGAGGGGTTACTGATTATTCAGGTTGTATAATCATGACCAGTTACAAAAGCAGAAGTTGACACATTATGGTGCCCCTAAGTAATCTCTGGATCATATGCTAACTTTTCAGTTTTACCATTGCTATTCCTTTCTGATCTAGGATGGAATCTAGGTTGCACTTGAATTTAGTTCTCATGCCTTCTAATCTTGATGCTCCTTTTCTTTCTTGGCCTTGATACTTTTGAAATGCCAGTAGTTTTGTAGAATTTCCTTCAGTTTGAATTTGTCTGATGTTTTCTCATCATTAAAGCTATTTTTTTTCAAAGATAGAATCTCACTATTCCAAGTGGTGTGTATGCACAGCATGTCTGGTTTAATTAAAGTTAGGAATTTTTAACAAGAATTCCACAGGACTGATAATATACACCACCATGTCTTGTTGATGCAACCCAATCCTTCCCACCTCCCCCCCCACAAAAGTTGTAAAGTTCGTTTTCGACATAATGACTTGTACATCTCATTGTTGCAATGGGTCTGTGGGTGGTTTTTATCTTTCATAGTTAAAAGTATCTTTTGGGGAAATGTGTTTAGACTGAAGATGTACTGATCTTACCTCTGTGGATGCTGGGGTGGAGCCAGGCCTTGAACATGCTGGGCAGGTACTCTTTCACTGAATGTCACTCCCAGCTTTTTTGGTTTTTGGTTTTTGGTTTTTTTTTTTAGTCATGGGGCTTTGACTCTGGGACTGGGTGCTGTCCCTGAGCTCTTCAGCTCAAGGCTAGCACTCTACCACTTGAGCCACAGCGCCACTTCTGGTTTTCTAGTGGTTTATTGGAGATAAAGAATCTCACAGACTTTCTTGTCCTGGCTGGCTTTGAACTGTGATCCTTAGCTCTCAGCCTCCTGAGTAGCTAGCATTATCGGTATGAGCCACCAGCACCTGGCTTGTTTTTTGTTTTTTTTTGAGACAGAGTCTCAGGTTGTTTCTGATGTTGCAGTTCTCCTACTTTAGTCTCCCTGGTACTGGGATAGTCATGAGCCACTATGCCCAGCTAAACTAATTATTTTTTTTAGATAGTTTTTTTTAAATTTAATTTAATTTTATTTGTGAACATACTGTACAGAGGAGTTACAATTACATGGGCAGGATAATGCGTACATTTCTTACCAAGCATTGCAGCCTCCTCCTTTGTTTACCCTTCACATCCCTTGCCAGCCTCCCTCCTCCCCCCCAATCCCAATCCTTCTTCTTCCCCCCCCTTCCCCCCCCCGCACCGACATTGTAAAGCTCGCCAGCTAAACTAATTTTTTACCACTGATTTTAGCATTCCTCAATGACTTTTTCTGCCCATTAATTACAGTGGATTTTTGCTTAATAATGATTTTCAGTTTCCATAGCTTTGTGTATGTGTGTGTGTATGTGTGTGTGTGTGTTTGTGTGTGCCAGAACTGGAGCTTGAACTGAAGGCCTTAGCTCTCTCTTAGCTTTTTCCATTCTACTACTTGAGCCACAGTTTCACTTTTGGCTTTGTGATGGTTAATTGGAGATGAGTCTCATTGACTTTTCCTGCATGGGCTGGTTTCTAACCATGAACCCCAGATCTCAGCTTCTTAAGTAGTTAGGAGGCCTGATGTACCAGTGCCCTTTTTAATATGGATTGTTTGGGATTCTACTGTGAATATTCATGCCTTCTGTCCTAGTATTGATATTGAACCGCCTTGTTTTGTGTCTTGTGAGATGATCTATATGGCAGTCAGAATAATGCAAATGCTTTGGAAATAAATCATTCAAATTTAGTGCAAATAAAGGACAGGCTATTCACTTGAGAAACTTCATTCACAGGTGAAATTCCTGTTTAAGTTTCTTTGTTGTCTTTGTTTAGCTCAGAGCAAAACCTGTCAGATTTTCCTAGGAGCAAGGGTTATTAATTGCTTCCATTAATTACTTCTTGAAAAGATTACATTTAATTTTCATGTGAGTGCCAGACATTTAAACTCAGTATGCCTGCCTCTTTGTTTTCTAGGTGCAGGGGCCATTCTCATTCCTCGCTTGGACATTGTGATCTCCTTTGTGGGGGCTGTGAGCAGCAGCACGCTGGCCCTCATCCTGCCGCCTCTCGTTGAAATCCTCACATTTTCAAAGGAGCATTACAATATATGGATGGTCCTAAAAAATTTGTCCATAGCGTTCACTGGAGTGGTAGGCTTCTTATTAGGTACATATGTAACTGTTGAGGAAATTATTTATCCTACTCCCACAATTATAGCTGGAAATTCACAAAGTCCCTCTCTTAATTTGAGTTCAATTTGCTTTACGCCAGGTTTCAAGTAGTATAGTCAAAGAAACGAGTCTTCTACTCTTACCTCCACTCTGAAAATGGAAGAACCAGTAAAATGCATTGCCGTGCATTTCTAAATAGTACCAAACACCTATTTCATAAAAGTAGCAAATGGTGACAGATTTGTGGTTTATACAATAGCTATGCATTCTTAAAATTAGCTTTGCAACTAAAAAAATTATAAAGTCTACAAATTCAAAGAATAAAAATATTCTTAATTCCACAAGAAACACTAAAAGATTTGGCTTTCTTCCCCATAATTTTACCACCCAGTTGAAAAGCTGCAGGAGTTTAACAATAGGGGGCTAAATAAGGGCTTTGGTGTATATACATACGCGTGTGTATGTATAGCACGTGTTTGTCCAGACCATCCAGTGAACAGCAGAGTGAACTTGTTGTGTGAGGTAATGGGTTATGCATCTCTATGATGACAGTGCGTGGGACTGGGCCTGCAGCAACAAACCATGTTATCTGTATCAGAAAAAGCCCACAACCAGAATTATTTTTCTGCTATACTGAAGCAGTATGCAGTTTGGATTCTAATCAGGAAGCACTGAGCAAGATCCTAGCTTGGTGTTTCAGTCATGCTTGAGAGGACTTTTAAGGTTTCTCCAATACACATCCCTTATTTATCACTGGAGGAAATGGAGTCCCAGAAAGGTCAAGCAGCTGGATTAGGACCATTCACCCCAATATCAAGGAACCCTATTTTCAAACTCTGAAGCTACAATTTTTTCATTTTCCATATTGTATCCAATAATAAGAACAAATTATGCTTAGCTTAATTTTAATATGGCATCTATTTAATTACACATTACAACTTCACAATGTAAAGAAAGGAGAGTAGTGGTGGACCCCATATTTTCCACGGGACAGCTGCTGGCATTCAGCCCAGCCACCACACCATCTCAGCTGCCCTGTGCGCCTTCCCTTTTTGGGGGTTGTAGGGACCATCTTCCATAATGGCAGAAAGTAGATGCTGTGACAAAACTGAGGATTTGTGCGCTCCTTCCTGCCTTGGGACTTTGCTTATCAGAGTCTCATTGATCTGCATGTGCAGGGTACGAGCACTGTGAAATGAATGCTGAAGAAAAATAGAAACAGCAAAACGTTCTCTAATCAAAACTGAGACACTCCAGCATCTTACATCCATCCTACATTCATCCTTGGCTTTCAAGTGCATTTATTCACCAGCACAGAAATCTCATTGGATGGAGAACATGAAAATTACTAAGTCTGAAACATTAGAATAGAATTGTCTACAGATTTTTTAATTCACAGTTTAGAATTTGAACTTTTTATTCATCCTGGTAATACTCTAATGTGTAATACCATGAAAATACCATTAAGTTCACTGTATATATCCTCTATTTTTGTATCTAAATGTTAACTTATTCAACTTTTTTTTTGCTTGCATTATTAACTCATCATCAGGTGTGAGCCTGAAGATATATCAGAAGCTTTATTTTGGTACAGATTCATAAGAATCAAAACATTTTTTAAAACATCAACATTAGGTATTAACTGCCATATTTTATATCAAATCTGTTACATTGCATCTGTAGTTACACTAAAAGATGTGGAAAAGCTAATCTTTAAACTTAACAGTATAGTCTGGAATCTAAGAATAAACTAAAAGTTTTAAAATTTTATAATATGAAATTAATTAAAAATTATTTAATAGAGTGAATTTTTTGTCAGCTGCTTTCACATGTCTGTGTGTTAAAATTATCTTTGTACTTTGACCTGTTATTTATTTCCTTATGGAATTAAGCAAGTGCAGTGGTATCTTCAGTAGTTGTTCTAGCAATAAGTACAATCTGAATTTAGCACACTCAAGTCTTAAGTGTTGTCATCAGCCAGGCTTTTGTAGGCAGTAAAGTACTGCATCAGCATCTAGCTGTAGCTCACTAAGTGATCCCTGGTGCTGTGTCAGAATTTAGTTTTAGACTCACTGTGTGATTCCATGCTGCAGTACAAGAAAAGGTAGATATGCAGAAAGGAAGAAAATACTTTTAATTATTCACAAGAAACAGTATTTAGATGCAAAGTCTAACTATACTCTTATTTTAGGACAAATGACATTTATCAGCTATTTTCCTCTGATGTTTAGTTTTAATGAATCATACCATTTTCTAAAATGTTTGCAGAAGGTATTTTTGCTCCTGCAGGTGTTGCTTTTTCTTTTGGGTCTGGAGAATGAGTGATTGTGTCCCTCAGGTTTACTGTCTTCTCTGTTTTGATCCAGAAAGTTGTGACTGCAGTAACCTTTGCTGCCATGGTGGTGGTCTTATCTCAGTGCTGAGAACCACGTGCTTGGTTGCTTAGAGTGAGGAGGGCTGTGCTCACACAGGTGGTTGGAGTGAGGAGGGCTGTGCTCACCAAGGTGCCTGTGCCCAGTGTGAAGCCCAGTTTCACTGTCCACTTGTCAAACACCAGATCTTTTCCCCATGTGGCCAGGTTTCTTCACAAAGAAATGAGGGATTTTTCTCCATCAGAGAGCAGTTTACTGGGTCTTATAAAAGAAAACAAATGCCATGCTAACAAATGCCACATTGTGTTTTAGTTCTTTGCAATGAGTTTGTTAAAACCAGTTCTGATGCTGTCTTGGACAGAGCATTGTTGTAAGCAGTTTGTGATAGCATTTGTGTTGTAAATTTTCTGACAGGTGTGTGCTTGCTTAGAATTTTCCTAATATTTGCTTTTCAAAGTACTGTCAACTATGAAATTTCTGTATCAGTGCTGTTGCTAGCTATGGGGAAGCGTACACCTTGCTTTCCTTAGCTGTTGTTTCTCTGCTATCAGTGTCAGTACAGCACCTGAGGAGTATGCATGGAAGCAAACACCCTGACACCTGGGTCTTGGCCTTCTCTCTCCTCACTTAAAAGGGAACAGAATAATGAAAGTAATCAAATTATTTCATACCAATGGCCAATGAGTATTAGTCTGTTAGGGAATAAAATAATTTGGTTAAAATAACAGCATTGATAATTCAGAATGATGGCTTTTTAAACAAAATTTTGTGCTGGTCCTGGGATTTGAACTTATGGTCTAAGCTCTGTCTCTGAGCTTTTATGCACAAGGCTAGTACTTTACTACTTGAGCCAAAACTCTGCTTCCAGCTTTCTGGTGGTTTATTGAATATGAGTCTCATGGGCTTTCTTCTTTGGCTGGTTTTAAACTACAATCCTCAGATCTCAGCCTCCTGAGTAGCTAGAATTACAGGTGTGAGCCACTAGCTCTTGGCTTTTTAAAAAGTCATTTTTAAATTACCTTCAAATAGTTGGAGAAAAGGGTTTCAATTCAATAGTTAAATGTACAACATACCATTTCCACAGAATGTTGGATTTTTATTACATGCTTTAAGCATTTTTAATTAATTTTTTTAAGTTCTTTTATTTTGAATGGTGCTAGGGATCAAAGCTAGGTCCTTGAACGTGTTAGGTCAGTGCCCTACATCTCGAGCCTCATGCCCTTCTCCTCACGGGACTGGCTTCAGACCAAGGTTTCGTCTACCTATACCTCTGACAGCTGGGATTACAGATGTGTGTACCACTATGCCTTTTGTTGAGGTGGGTCTCATGTTATTGACTGGTCCAGTCTCAAACCATGATCCTTTTAAGTAGCTGGAATTTTATTTGGGAGCCACTGCACTTGGCCTATTTTTTGTTTTTGACATAGAGTCTCTAATTTGTGCCTGGGCTGGACTCAAAGTCATGATCCTCCTTGTCTCATACTCCCTACTAGCTGGAATTACAGGTATGTGCCACTAAACCTAGATGAAAAAAATTGAATTATTTTAATGATTTTGGTTCAACTAGCTTTCATAAGAAAACTTGAGAAACTAGTAGCCCAGTTATAGCAAAGTACTTGGTAACACTAAATGGTTGACTGTGATGGTTAGTATTTATGTGGTATTAGCACTCATTAGGTCACGTGTCATGTTGAGTCTGATTGGTTTTGATGGTTTTGACCTACAAGATAAGAAAATATCCCTAATTATGGGACGGAATGGTATTTATTGCCCCACGATAAGTGAAATAAATCACTGTGATCCTTGTAGTTTCCTATTATAATTTGCCAGTTATTTGCACATATGTACATTCACACACACAATATAAACATTGATTTATCATTTATATTGGATGTAGAAAGATGTCTTAAAAAATAACAAAGAAATTGCATTGGAATTTTCTTGGTAATAGGAAAAAACATGTTTATGTCCTAAATGAACAAGCTATTATTGGTTTAAGAGTTTCAAAAATGATTTTGTTATAAAATGTCATTGAACTTGAGTCAGGTCCCTTTTTTTGTAAAGGAATATGAAAAAAAGTTGTCTTAAAGTACTGTAACTTCGGAGATTTCAATAAAATGTGATTATTTTGCTTGCAATTGCCTTTTGAATATATGTTTTAAAAGGATAAATGACTGACATGTCTAGATTGAAAATGCAACTAGTATAAAATTCTCACAATACCATTGTGAGTAGTGTTTATTATTGTTTGTAATGTTTGAAATTGGTACCGATAAGATTTAAGAGGAGACTAGTAATGAAAGCATGAATCAAAAACAACCATCTGCAAATTCCCTGTTTGTGATTTAACTTACTAGGGAAAAGTCTAAGGATTCCTCAACACCCAGAGTTCCACACAAAATCACAGAAACTAGCAATCCATTCATAAAAAAGAATCATAAGGAAGCTCATGACAAGACTCATAAGGGGAAGATTTTAGCAAGGATTTATTTTAGTATAAATGACTAATGAGAAATATACCTGCTCCTCACACAAAATATGGAAATAAAGACTTAAAGTGGTGGCTCTTATATTTTTTTGAGGGGGGTAGAGGAGCTTGGCTAGTGTTTTGTCACTTAGGTCATGCCTTCAATCCAGGTTTTTGCTGATACTTTGGGTATTTGGGTATAAAGTCTCATGGACTTTTCTACCCAGGGTAGCTTTGAATTGTCCTCTGGATCTCAGCTTCCCAAGTAGCAAGATTATAGATCTGGAACATCAGCACCTGGAAAAAGATTTCTATTTTTGGTGGTAGTAGGGGTGAACTCTGTGCCTCATGCTTGGTTGAGGCTGGTGCTGTACTGATTGAGGCATGCCTCTAGCCTCCAGGAAATTTTATTGAGTAATTGGTAATAGAGGTGTGTGGATTTTCTGTCCTACCCAACTTTAAACTGTACTCTACCAGGTCTCAGCCTCCTAAGTAGCTAGAATTCTGAGTCTGATCCTTTCAATATTATTTTTAATTTCTCTGTATCCTTGTCTATCCTGCCCAAAAGGATATTCGTTGTTGTTACTACAGGGAGATGATAATTGTTTAAAATAATAGATACACCAGATCCCTGATTTAACATTAAGCAATACATACAAATACTGAAATGTCAATTGGGGCTTCATAGGTATGTATAATCTCTATGTGCTATTTAAAAAAGAATAGACAAGTAAAAGTATTTTGGATAGTAGAGTAAGTATGCTCTTGGGAATTAGGTATTTCATCCAAAGATAGGCTCCGTACTTGAAGCTTAGAATGGGAGAATGGAACTTCAAAGCCATCCAGAACAAAAAAGTTTATGAGACTTTGCAACCTACAGCTAGGTGCAGTAGTCTGTGCCTGTCATTTTAAATTACATGGGAGGCTGAGACTGGGGGGAACTTTGTTCCCTGCACAATTCTGTCAACAGAGGGAAGCTGAACTCTAGCATGTGTGGTCATCTCAGCAGTGACAGGACCCTCAGATAATTTTGACTGTAGTCCAGACCCTGAATCAAAAGTAATCCGCAAAAAACAAGGCTGGAAGTGTCTCAGTGGTAGAACACTTACTTAGTTCTAGTATGAGAGGTAGAAAGAGAGACAGACAGACAGAAACAGACTGCCTGAGGTACATTTGTCACATGTAATTTTAATAGTGAAAACAAAGTGACCTAATTGTCACTGATAGCAGAGATCATCGATTACACAGTCTCATTCTAGAATGTACTAATGTACTAATTATGCTGAAGTTATACTGAAAACTAATAATTTAGAAAACATCTATGAAATTAAATTTTAATTACAGCTCTGTGAAAACATTCCTTTTGATTAAACATATGTAGAAAACATTAGGATAATATACCGTATAATGTATCCTAATAGCATTAGGATAAAGAAACTGGTTTTACTAATTTTAATGACTGGTCACAGGAGGACTGGGAGAATCAAGAGAAATAGTTTGAGAATGGATTTAAAAATTGTGTTAGGGCTGTGGAGGAAAGAAAGGCTATCCTGAATACATACGGAGGCACATGCAGAAGTTCATGTTCCTGATTCACAGCAGCACCAAGTCACATACGCGAATGAATATACACATGTGTGTGTGTATGTGTATATACACTACCTTATATACCTATTTCCCCAAGCTCTGTAACAGGCAAACAACATACACCTTATTTAGCTTGTAGGCAGGAACAAGACTAAGTATTTCCGTAGAGATGAAACTGTAATGAAGAAACCATATGTAAAATTTGCTGAAGGAAACAAATGCTCATTTTTTAAAAAATGTAAAGGTTTTAGAGTAATTGGACTAAACAGAGATGCTTGCAATGTTTTGCATATAGCGAGATGGGCTCATGTTTCAACGAGAAGGTTTCTTGGGTTTGATTAACAATAGTTCTTGAGAAGCAGAGTTGATTCTGTTTCCTTGTAAATATAGAATTGTTGCATGACCTGCAGTGGGCTGAAGAGACTCAGAGTTTTTTTGTTCCTCACAGGGCTTTGCTGCTATGAAACAACTTGCTGGAACCTAACAGTGGATGGTTGAACAGGTCCAAAGTAGAAAAGATAAGTGAAGGAATTAGACTCATACATAGCAGTATGGCACTTCCCATGGGATTCTGTAGTCTTTGTGGTTCCAATACATAAAAGTATTTCACAGGAACAGAACTTGGAAATCATGTCTTGTCACTTTTCTTTCTAATTTCCTCTGTCCTTCCCCAATATTGGCTCTACAAAGACCAGCCTTGTTGGTGTGTATACTGACAAGCCTCTGGCCTCCCTCCTCTTGCTGCTTCTACTAACACCAAGTACTCACAGCACCACAGACATGCCACACATGTGCTGTACCATCTGTGTGTCTGTCACCTCATGCTGAAATGACTTCCCTCTGTTTCCTTCCCCATGTTTTTCCCTAGCTGAATTTATTAGAATTAGAATTATTAGAATTAAGTTTAGGGAGACAGTTAAGATAGGGAATTAGAGACACTTAGCACTTTCCAAGGTTTCCATGAATCTGAAGCAAAATCATAAGATTCACGGTTCAGAGACAGAAGGACAGTGAGGAGAAGGAAGCAAGGGACTGCAGAAGGGGGCAGTGGGCAGACTCAGAGGAAGTCCAGAAATGCCGTGCTTTAGATTTATAGAAGAAACAAATTTTATCAGAGTGCTGAGCAAAACCAGAGGGAAGGGGAAGAATCCTCATCAGTGGAGCCACAACAAAGAGTGCAGGCAGCCTTTGGAAGCCCACAGGTACCATCAGCTGGCACTACCAAAATAGAAGGCACGTAGTGAGGGAGATCAATATGTTGCACTTCACATAGACACAGAAAAGGTATCTGGCATATGTATCTGCAAACCCTGAAGACTTGCCTTCACTGCTTTAGCTAGTTGCTTTAGATTCCCCAATGGTACCTACGTGGATGGATGGTGTCTGCAGGAACCCAACTGCGCAACAGCAGAGCTGTGCATGCTGGCTCCTGTGGTGGCAGCAAAGCAGAGCGACAGCACAAACTCTGAGCTCAAGTCAAGAATAGAAACGCCTGTACACATTCCAGCAAATGCATTTGCAATTATTATGTGGCCAATGCTTTGTGATATAAATGTACTTTTTCAATGTATACTTTCACTTTTAAAATGCCAGTTATGAAACCTCTTGAAGAAAAAAAATAGAAACTCAAGCTATCTATGCTGACACAGACTGTATAGGCCAAGGCAATGGGATCAAGTGGAGTTGTGCACCTTGCCCAGCCAGAGCAAAGTGTATTGTCTTAACCACTTGGAACACTTCCAGAGAGTCAGACACACCGGCA